TTCCCAGACGTACCGCGCGCATGCCACCAGTGTCCTCGTCGACGTGAGCGTGATCAACTTGACATTTTCGGTCCTCCTCTCTTCGTACGGTGTTCTTGTGCCGCTTCTGTGGCGCTTTGCGTCGCCCGTGGCGCGTCGCCAGTACACGATTGCTGCTGCTGTTGGCATGAACTTTACCGCCAACGTCCTCTTGCCAACGTGGATTCTGCGACCGTACTTTGACTTTTTCACGCGCCACGACGGTAGCAAGGTCGTGTACCAAGATACGTTTTACCCGATTGGCGTCTCGGTCTCTCAAAGCGTCCTTGCGACGTCGCAGCTGGACTTGGCCGTCACCGCCATCACGCACCTCTTTCTTTTCTTGGCCCTCGCTGATTTTACGACGAGCTTCGTGCTCGTGCCCAAGGCGCTACTGCAGCGCGTGTCGACGCAGCGCGAACACAAGCTGCCGCGCTGGTGCTCGTTCTCGGCCGTCTGTGGGTACATTGCGAGCGTCCTCTGGGCGATCGCAGTCCTCGCTGTCAGCTTTTCATCGCTGCGCCAGCTGCCGTGCGAGCCCGGGTGTCTCGCGCAAACCTACCCCTGGCTCATGGGCAAGTGTGCATGCACGGTCCTCGAGACGACCTGCGACGGTGTCAACGACACACTCACACTGCCGCCAAGGGACAGTCTTGAAGTCCGGTCGCTCGTCTTTCTCATCATCTCGCACTGTCCGCGGCTGGTCATGCCACCGTCGCTGCAGGCGTTTACGAATCTCATTGGCCTCGAGATCTTCAATTCGACGCTCGTCACGTGGGACGAGAGTGCTAGCATTGCGCCGTTGACGCGCTTCTCGTACGCGATGATCGTGAGCACCAACATGACTGACTTGCCGCTCGGGCTCTTCACGAACGCGCCGTCGACGTTCATCGACCTCGAGATTTCGGATACAAATTTGCGCCAGATCTCGCTGCACCCAGATCTGCTGACGACGCTCACCGTGCTCTACATCGAGTACGGCCTTCTGGACGCGTTCCCGTACCAGCTCACGAGTCTGCCTCTGCTGAACGAACTTTCGCTCTTCAGCAACAACATCCCGTCGGTACCCGAAAACCTCTCGCTCCCGAGCCTCAACTACCTCCAGCTCGCCAGCAACCCACTGAGTCAGACGATCCCAGACGCCGCGTTTGCGCTCCCTGCTCTCTGGGAAATGTACGTCGACCACTCGAACGTGTCGGCCTTTCCGACCAATGCGTCGGTCTATTGCAGCGCGCTCTACGTGATCGGCGCGTACAACAGCACGTACTGCTTCTTGCGCGACAATGCAACGTGCGCCGAGACGCCCGACTGCGCGCTCGTCTCGTGCGAAGCCAACGACTACCTGCTTGGGTACTTTCCGACGACCGTGATTCTCCAGAGCCGCAATGCGACCCATCTCTTGCAGCGACGAGTAGAGCCAGGACAATAAGACACTTGTGTACACAACTGTACATTTCTCGAAACAAAACGCCTAGTTGAGCGCGTCAAAGATGCGGACCGCGCGCTTGGCCGGCTGCTTTTTCTCCTAATGAGTGTCATCCGTCGACAACCTTGTGCGATAATGTAATAGTACTGTCTTCGAGTAGCCGTAGACGCCGCGGAGGTCGCCAATGAGCCCCGACATGCCCTTGGTCTCGTACGGGAAGTACAGAGTCTTCTTGTCGAGCGACACGGACATGCGCTGGAGCATCTCCATGTAGCGCTGCGAAATGACGTACTCGGTCTGCGACGCGCCGTCCGCCGAAAACGCCGATGCGATGAGCTCGAGCGACTTGGACTCGGCCCGTGCGAGCTCGACCTTGGCGCCTGCCTGCCCCTCCGACCTGCACCATTCGATACGTGAGATTCTCGGAGCCGACGCAATGGATGATATAATACGTCTTGCGCGTGGCTTCTTGCTCGGCGACACCCATGTTGTACTTTTGAAGCTTTGTGCCCTCGGAAATGAGACGCATCGCCGCTTTTTGCCCTGGAAAACAAGAATATAAGTTCGAAGCGCGAACCAATATAATCGACCGACCTCGGCAATGATAAACTCGGCGCGGCGCGTGCGCTCGGCAATCATCTGGCGCTTCATCGCGTTCGAGATGGTCGTGCCGGCCTTGGGGAGCATATCGAGCACCTCCATGCGCTCGACCTAGCACCGTGGATATATGCAATTATGATGATGACTTCTCCAATCGGAGCATTCGTTCCACATACCACAAGGCCCCACTGCGCAAAGCGCTCGCCAAAGCTGCGCTGGATGTGGGCGTTGATGACGCTCTGGGACGCAAGCGCCTCGGTGAAGGTCATGTTGCCGAAGACCTCCTTGAGCTGCGTCTGCGCGACGTTGGCGATCGCTGTGTTGAGATCGTCGACTTCATAGACGGCCTAGCATCTCGTCGTTCGCACACGCTCTACCGACGACGACCACGACGAACCTTTTTGATGTCGACGATGCGGAAAAACATGATCGAATTGATGTCGAGGAGGATCGTGTCCCGCGTGTAGACCTAGAGAGATGAGAGGAGCGCGCTCATGGAAGCGTACGTACCTCTTGGCTCGGGAAGCTAAAGATGCTTTCGCGCAAATCGATGCGGTAGTTTTGCGTGCTACACGATGTGAATCGCGGCGCGCACGCAGACAGTCGTGTCGTACTCGTGCGACTCCATGCGGCCGTTGGACTTGACGACGCGCTTCCACGAAAAGCTCCGGGGCGAGTCGATGAACGGGATCTAATAAGGACGCACATGTAACAGCAGCAGTGGCCACGAGGCTCGTACGACAAAGTGGATGCCCGAGTCGAGGACGCCCTGGACGCGGCCAAAGCGCTCAATGACAATGCCTAGGCCAATGTCAGACGCAGGTGGCGGAGAATGGACGTGCCTTCGGCCTGCTGGACGACGTAGATAGACTTGCTCAAGAGGATGCCGATGAAGAGGAGCACGACTAGAGGCACGGCGACAGCCACGATGATGGACGCCGGGTCCGACGACGATGACATGCTTCCGGCCTTGCTACAAGTATTGAAATGCGACCGATTCGATACACGCTCCAAGTATGCGTTTATAGAGGTTTTACATTTTTCTCAACCTGGCCGTATGACACTGGGCTGTGTCCACGGCCGGCTTCTCTACAAAGGGCGCGCTGCAACGGGAACGAGCAGTCATGGCCTACGGACGCTGCTTGGATACGCCCGTAGCTACACGCGCAGCCTCGGACACGCTAAAGTGAAGGGCGAAATGACATGTGTAGCCCCATAAGCCGATGCCATTGCATAGTACATTGTGCAAGAAAGAACGTGTCCTCGCCTTCTATGTGGCGTGTGACTCTAGTCGAATCGGTGCGTCTGGTCGCTCTAGGCAAGGATGGACGTCGCATGGTACATCGTCTTCACCATGACATGACATATACTACAGCGTGCGACAGGCTGTCGCCGTGGGCTGGCCAACGAGTGCGCTAGGTCTGGCACGACCGGTTTCAGTGTACACGTCTTATTTTAGTTGCAGCAGCGTTTCGGTCCGTCGCACTTGCGATTCGAGATGCACCAGCTCGTAGCCATCGCGCCGCACGATGCAGCGCGTACCGAAGCGGGCGCGCCACACGAGGCGCGGTGGTACGACGCAGTAGGTCTTTTCTACGTGGGCTGCTCGGTCGCGCTGAGCTTTGCGAGCGTGCTCCTCGCCGAGCCGTACCTCCAGAGCGATTCGTTCTGGCCCGAGTTTGAGCCAAAAAACGTCTCGACCGTGCTCGCGGCTGTGTACAACCTTCAGCTCACGCTCACGAACGCCTCCAGCAGCATCGAGCTCACGGACGCAGCGCTAGCACTCTCGCCTCTCGACCTACTCGGCATCAACCCCGCGTACCCGCGGCGCATCATGTACGAAGAGCTCACGGACATCAGCGACGCTATTGTCGGTTTGCGGCGCCTTTCGGCCGCCAATGTCGCGTATTTAAGCACCCAGTATTGTTGGGCCGACGTCGATCGGCGCTGGGAAATGGCGCACACCGTGCGGCGCCAGGAGCGCTGTGCCGCGGTCTCGACAACCAACGGCGCAGTCCACCTCGAGACGGTCTTACGCAACATTGATATGCGCGCTTGGCTGGCGCTCGCCTCGACGAGCTTTGAGCTGTACATCGCCAACGGCATTGCCGCGCTTCCTGGCGGCGCCGACTGGGTCGATGCTGTGCGTAGCCACGTGCTGACCTCGATTCCAGACGAAGTCACGTTTTGGCATGCGCACAATCTCTCCCATTTTACGCTCCAGTGGTCGAACCGCAACCAGATCGGGATCCAAGAGACACTGAGCATCGGGAGGTCTGTCTTTGGCTCGGTCAGTACACTCGCCATCAAGTCGATGCCTGCCAGTGTCCGCAACGCGCTCGTGACCTCCAACTACATGAACATGGCGCTTCAGTACGACTTTAACGCGCTCGAGAGCACGAATCTGAGCCTGGTTCGGGGTGCGCCGGCCTTTTTCGGGACCAATAACGTCTCGCTCATCGAGGCGTTTGCCGTCGGCCTCCCGCTGAGTCGTCTCTACGACGTCGTGCACCGTTCGATCGGATCCCTCGGGACCATCGATCTACACTGGGTGCCTGCCCCAGCTGCGTTGCGCCACAGCATCCAACGCTTTCGCGCCCACGTCCTCAAGAGCGTCCAGGCCGACGCTGCGCTCGCAACGATCTTCACCAGCATCGACACGACGGTGCTGCACCCGACCCCGCCGCGCTGGGCCGACCCCGACCTCGTCTTTTACGGCGGGAATCCCATGTGCGGGTACGGCAGCGGCGAGCCGTACCCGCAAGAGTCGTGGGGCTTTAACGACGCGTGCGCGAGCCAGTCGCGATTCTCGACGACGCTCACAAGCTTTAGCGGCCTCTTTGCCTTCCTGATGCTCGGCGGGTCCGTGCACCAGCCGTGCGCGCTGGTGCGCGACGTCGTGCGCTGCGAGAGGACGCTGGACGCGATCGCTGCCAGCTATGCGCGGCTGCCAGCGACCAACGATACGTTTGTGCCGCTCGGTGCGACCGACGAGCTCTCGCGCGTCCACTTCCTCCAGCATGTCGCGACGAAGAATGCGTCGACGACCGTGTCGTTGGCACCGCAAGCGCTTCTTGCCGACGGAGCGTGGGCGTTCTTTGGCTGGGCAGCGCTCTACGACTGGGCGATGACCTCGCGCTCGGTCATGCGATTCGAAGGGGACGTCGACCGCTTCGACCTCATGTCCTTCTACTACCCGCCAGTGCAAAGTCAACGCGGCGCTTCGCTCTTTGTGAGCTGGGCGCAGTACTTACGCGTGTGCATGCTTGTGTCGAGCGGCCTCCTCGGCGCCGTCGCGCTCCTCGTCGCCATACTCCACGTGGTCTCGGGGCGCCCCGCGGGCAGTCACTGGTTTGTCTTCAACCGCATCGCATCCGCGGTCTGGCTCAATCGAGGACTGCTGTTGCTACGGAGCTTTGTCGCGCTCCTTTGTCTCTCGACGGCGCCGATCGTCCCGACAACGACGAGCGACCACTGGGTGCAATTTACGACGGCGCGGCGCTCCGTGGTCGCCTCGTGTCTCCTCGCTGGCGAGACGACGTGGCTCACCTATGTATTGCATGAGCTGTTGCATCCGGTCACAGGCGACCTCACGCCGTACTATGCACCGCCGAGCTCGGCCCTGGCCTTCGTCCTCATCGCGGGCCTCGACGTGTTTGGCTCAATCCCGACGGACGCGAGTATTCATCGATCGTGCTACAGTGTTGAGATGGACTATATGATCTACTGCAGCTCGGGGCACGCATCGATTCGGTCGGTTGCGTGGTCGGCCGCCATCGTAAGCATCAACGTCGTGTCGGTCGGCGCGTGTCTACTGCTGGCGCGCGCCTATAAGAAGCCCGGGCCACTCCTCGCGGTGACTCCCAACTTGCTCTTGCCACCGGCGGCCGTCGCCTTCCACCGATATCCTCGCAGCGCGACGACCGGCTTGTGGCTCAACGACGTGACGCTCGCGCTCTGCGGCATTTTGCATATCTCCCGCCCCAAGCTGCTCTTTGACACGAAATTATGGCTGCCATTGCGCGCGGCCGACGTGCGCCGCCACGTGGGTGGTGTCTACCTCCCGCACTGCATTGCCCTCTCCACCATGGCGGCCGCGTCGCCGCGCCGGGGCACGATCACATGGACTCGGCATGTGCACCGCACGCTGCACAAGGTCACGCTCCTCGGCGGGCTCTCCTACTTGCTTGGCTCGCTCTATAGCAACTACTTTTACTTGGGCGTCGCGCAAGAATACTTGGCCAACGACTATGGCTGGACGGGCTACAACGCGACGGGCGCGCGGTCGTTTGTGGCCAACCTCTTCAACACGCAGCTCTTCCTCGCCGCGAAGGCTCGCGCTCGATGCGCCAGAGAATGGCGATTGGCACCAAGCGTACAACACGTCCGAAACGTCGGTCGTGTGGCCCGACGCAATGGCGCGCCGACAGCTTTACCAGCCGCACCCTCACTTGAACGAGATCATTTCGGGACTGCGCGCGATGCACCCGTGCGTGCTGCCGTGGATGTTCACGCAGTACTGCTGGCTCGACTGGAACCGTACGTGGCCGATGGCATCGACAGCTGCGCGCCAAGCGCGTTGCGCAGCTCACGATTCGAACGGCGCGAGGTATCTGGAAAGTGCGCTGCGCAACATTCTCGACTGGGACGCTTGGGACCGCTGCTGGGGCGAGTCGTTTGAGATTGGGATCGCCCGCGACGTGGCTAGCACGGTGCACGGCCAGATGTGGTTGAATGCAACCATGCAAGCGCACACCCTCTCTATTCCAGACGAAACCAGATTCTGGCACTCCCACGGCCTGACCACGTTTGTGCTGCAGTGGCAAAACTACAAGTCCGTCGGTCTCCTCGATTCGATCCAGATCCGCACCGCGCTGGGGCTCTCGTACCCTGTCCGCCTCAGCGCCAGCGCAGGTTTCATGCATTTGAGCCAAGAAACGTCGCGCAAGATGTACTGGGCGTTCGCCAGCGACCTCTGGGCTGTCACCTGCAACACGTCGCGCATTGTCGGCCAGAGCCTTCTCGCCTCAAGCCCCCGCTTCGCCTACCGCAATGTATCCAGCGAGCGTCTCCTCCTTTCCAACGGTTCGTTCATCGCGTCGCCAGTCTCGGCCGGCTTGGCGTCGCTCCGAGCCGCGGTCGGGCCCTTCAACGCAGTGGATATGACGTTTGTTCCTCTTCCAAGCGCGCTTCTCAGCGTGTACACAGGCCTCGCCAACGCTCTCTCGACGCTCCTGCGCCAGAACGCGTCGGCGCAGGCCGACTTCTTTGAGCTACGGGTCGCCGCCAGCATGGGTGCGCTGCCATCGGCGTACGCAAATCGATGGACGATCGGCAGCAACCTCCTCTGCGGGAACGACGTGCCGCCCAATGCCGTCGCGTTTGGCTGGAACACGTACTTTGGCATGGCGAGCATGTGTCACTCGTACTACAACGAGTACATCTTTCCGACGCGGCTGCAGCTGCTCCTCGCCGTGCTCACGAGTCGCCGCACCCACTACTCGGCGGTCTGCACGCTCGACATTTACGCCAGCAGCACCTGCGCGGCCGACTATAGTGCCTACGCTACGTTTGCAACCACGTACAATGTATCGATCGACGCATCAAGTCTCGCGGCGGCCAGGGCGGCAACGACCGCACCGTCGCTCGTGCTCTACCTCCTCAACAACGCCAGCGCTGCCGAGCTCACTGCCATTCCGCTCCTTCATGCGACCGACAACGAGTGGAGCTTCTTTGGGTGGTGCTATCTCTACGAATGGATTGTCGGTCTACGGGATGTGGTTGCGTTCGAGGGCGACCACGGCGTCGTCACTGCCATCTCGAGCCGGTCACACCCGCTCGTCTTTGTGCCAGACGAAGCGGAGATCCCGCACTCGCTCTCGTACCTCTTCCAGTGCGTCGTTCAGTACATCACGACGGTTCTCTTGTGCGTCGCGGTGTGCGTCGCACTCGGCACACTAGCGCAGCGGGGCCACGTCGAGGGTCTCAACCTCTTTGAGCTCAACCGGATCGTCGGCCATGTCTGGATCGGCCGGCTCTTCCTCATCGTGCGCGCGATCACGGCCATGTGGCTCCTCAACACGAGCACGCTCCAGCTCACGCGCATCGGCCATGGCACGTGGTTCTCAGTGCCGAGCTTGCCGTGGTACAAGCGCGTTGTGGCGAGCGCCGAAAGCACGTGGCTGGTCTATGTACTGAACGATCTCTGGAGCTGCGTCACGGGTCCGTACACGTCGTACTATGCGATGAAGAGCTCGTTTCTTGCGTGGGGGTCGGTGGCTGCCTGGACCGCCGCGTCGCCGCAAGCGTATGTTGCTGTGCTCGATCGACACTGCGACTTTGTCGACATGGACACGGCGCTACGCTGCGAAAGCGGCTACGTCGAGATCGGCAACGCGTCGCGCGTCGGTCTCACCGCGCTCATTTGCGTTCTCAGCGTCGTCGGCTGCTACATGGCCGAGCGATGGTACCGACCGGGCCTCGTCGACTTGGCGATCCCGACGCAGCTCCTCAACGCCCAGAGCTTTTACATGCTGGATATGACCGACTGGGTCTTCCACGGCGAGTTCTTTCTCGACAAGACGTCGGCGTTCATGGCCGGCGTCGTCGCGATCGAGTGGCGACAACGCTTGCATGTGCTCGACATCAAGTCGTGGCGCAGCTTCTCGATTGATGGCGTCGAGCTCGACCGACGACTCACGTCCAACGGATCCCATGAACGCTTGAGCTGGGCGATTCCGCTCAGTCGTATTTAGTGAGTACATAAGATCGACAAGATCGCCCGAGGGCGCGGAGGGTTAAAAACACCAGGATCCATCATCGTACCTATCTCAAGTATATCTTCTTCTGTCGGGAAGAAATGCAGGAGGGATGCAACAAGCATGGCACAGCGGACATGGCGCGTCGTGCGGGTTCGACTGTGGCGCTCGTCTCGAGACGCGGCATTGGTTCTAGACGCGGAACTGTCTCGAGGAGCAGGTTGTTAAAGATCTGTGCATCGCCTTCGCCACTGGATGGAGCCGAATGGGGGGTGTACAGAGGTGCGCTGGATGGAAAGAGCATCTTCGCATGCGGAGGTTTATATACACGTGGACTGTCCTTCCTACTGCGACGGACGATTACGGTGTCGACTACAATGTACTAACAACACTTGGTGCTACCGCGCGTGCACGAACGAGGCCAAGATCGCGTCCGTGCGGTCTTGCTCGCGTAAAAGCGACGTCAGGATCAGGTGCATGTCGTTCGGCGACAAGACGGCAGAGGGCGACGACACCGAATGCGACGAGCTCGGACTCAGCACGGCCGTGACAACCGACTCGAGCACGGGCACCGAGATGAGGGTTGCGCTCTCATCTGGATGCAGCGCGTCCGACGCCATGGACGCCAGCTGCTCGAGGCGCCCCGTGCGCACCGATGCCGTGCGCGGCTTGGTGTCGAGCACAAAGAGCGTGCCGCCGACCGCGCCGGACGACGTGTGCAGCGGAACGCCGGCGTAAAACTGGGCGGCCATCGGTGACGCGTGGTCGCGATCGCCCGTGTTGAGGACCACGACCGGAGACGCGCTCTGCACGACGTGGGCGCCAAAAGCCGTCGCTCGGGGCACCGACGCCGTAGAGAACCCATGGGAGGCAATGCAGCGCTCGGTGTCGCCGTCGACGAGACTTACGCCGGCCATGGGGCAGTTGTAGGCGGCGGCTGCGGCCTTGCAAACGTCCTCAAGACGCGCCGTGTCGGCCTCGGCGACGACCTCGAGACGACGACTCGCGCCGTTCGGTCGGCGGCGCGTCGGCGGCTGCAGCGCCGAGTGGCTTCGCGACAGCGTCGCAAGCCCGCGGGCCGACTTGGCGGGCAGCGTGTCCATGACGTGGCGCACGCAGCATTCAATGCAGATCTGAACCGTGCGGCGGCGGCGCTTGTCGTCCGTCGTGTCGTGGACGTCGACGATCTCGAGGCAGGCGCGACAGACGACCGAGCCACACTATAGAAAGTGCTATGAGTCTTTTATCGTCGACGAGAGTTGGATCACGTCGTACGTGGCGGCAGTGGCGCTTGCGGCGAAAACACGTAAAGAGGTTCTGGCAGGCGCGGCAGTCGACAGCACTTGCCGTGTCGTGGAGGTGGTCCTTCGTACTCAGGCGCGCCCACGTGCGGCTGTCGACAGCCCACGCGCCATACCGGCGCGGCCGACAAATTGTGATCCCGCTCATAATTTCGTAAATGCGCGTCTGACGCCCGACTCCGTCCCAGCTGTCGACAAGTGTTAGGCGCGCGAGTTACCACGACAGCGTTGGATCTGCTCTCAAGTGGGTGGCCATCACACTGGACGCACGCTCGCGATCCCTACACCTAATACGATATCAGAGCAGCCCTTCTGCGACCACCGACATCGGAAGCATCGCTCACTTCGTCCTCTGCGTACAGCGTTGTCAGGCTCGCGCCATGCCAGAATGGACGACGACGACGACGAGGTATTGTACCAGCTGGCTTTGAGCAGCGAGCGATCAACCACGAGCGAGTGGAACCACCCAGTACTGTAGCGCATCATACAAACAGTCGCCACGATCTATCACCTTCGTCGCATCGCCGTGCGCCAATTGTACAGTGCAGTGCGTGGACAGCTTGCGTGGACACGACGTATTAGTTAGTACATCGACGACTCGCGTGCCTCGACTAGAAGGGTGCTGGAACGGCACTCGAAAGCAAGCAAGGGTCCATGATCAATCGTGTTGAGGGACCCTTGTTCAAAGGTAATCCAACTTTATTGGCGAAACACTAGAGTCAGTCTCTACTGTGAGTCGTCCTCGCGAGTGATGCGGTGGTGTCCGGTGGGTGACGGCGATCGCTGTGGTCGAGTCGTCCATCCGCAGTGCCTTCTCAGCAACACATTGCTGGGTGCATCGAAGCGTGACGACGCTGTCATCCATCGCAGAAACGCCTTGGCCGGTCGCAGCGTGTCATGCAATCGCCACACGTCGACGCGTCAGAAGAGGACGGTGCGTGTGTGGCGAGCAAACGGGTCCCAACTTTGCTTTCTTTTACACGGCCGACGAGTCGTTTTGTTAAATAGCTGGCGTCGACTATGCGACATGTTGCAAATACGTGGCGCGGTGTCCGTCGAGAATGGCTTGCGTCTGCGCCTGGCACGCGAGGAGGGACGCGAGCATTCGTTGCATGTCGCTAGCGGCCGCGTCGCTCGAGCTGCTTTCGCGCGGCGGCAACCGGTCGTCGTCCGAGAGTTCAATCACCGACGTCGCGACAACCGAGCGCAAGTCCGATCGCATCGACGATAGCACATCCGACCGGACCGACGAGATGGCGCTCAGCACCGACTGCATCACGGCGACCGAGTCATCGCCATCGTCATCGTCGTCCAGCTCGAGCTTGGCCAGGATCGAAGTGGCGACTTCGCGCAGCCCGGCCGCCTCGAACGACGCGCGCGGCCGGGTGTCCATGACAAAGACGCACCCAACGACGTGTCCCGACGATGTTTGCAGCGGAACGCTGGCGTAGAACTGAAGGTGCAGCGGGCCTTTCAGCCACGGGTGCCCGCGGAAGCGCGAGCCGATCGCGCGCTTGTTGCAGAGCGCGACGGGCTGCTTCCACCGAACCGCGTGGGCGCCGAGCGACTGGTGTCGCGGCAAGTCCCATCCGGGAAATCCGATCGCAGCTTTAAAGAACTCTCGGTCAGCGTCGACAAAGCTGATGCCGGCCATGGGGCAGTCGTACGTCGCGCCGGCAATGGCGGCGAGGACGTCAAAGAGCTGGGCGGGCGCCGTGTCGAGCACGTTCAGCGACCGCAGCGCGTCAAGACGCCGGTCTTCTTCGCTGCTGCACGATGGTGTGGATGCACACGCCATCGAGGTCGATGGCCGCGGCAAGCTCACGGTCGAGTAGAACGTATCCCGGTCCGTCGGCCGCGGTGACTCGCTTGTGCGTGGTTGCTTCATGATGGGCGCCTCCTGCACCGTGTAGCTCGCTTTGAGAGCGACGGTCCGCGCGACTTCGCCGTACATGTGCTCGTGCACGTACGACGTGCAGCAGTCGACGCAGAGCTTGGCGCGGAGGCGCGGGCCGGCCATTGGGACTTGCGACCTCATCGACGAGAGCGCTGTGGCGCGGAAGCCATAAGCGCTGGACCGCCGACTCTCGTCCTTGTCAATGTCGACGCTCTCCAAGCACGACGAGCACATGAGGCGGCCACACTACAAGTCGAGTGGCATGATGAGCGAGGAGGACGCCGTTGTGGCGTACGAGGTGGCAGTGATGCTTGCGCACAAATACGTTGAAGGTTGCGCGGCAGGTGCGGCAGGCGGACGTCGCGCCGAGGTCCTCGTGGTGGTCGGCGCAGCTCAAGCGGCCCCACGTGGCCTTATCGACACCGCCCCAGCTCAAGCTCTCGCGCATGTATCTTGTTGTGAAATGCGCGATGTGATTTTATTTTATTATTGCGCCATATCCCCACAGCTGCCGTACAGAAACACGATGTCGTATTTTATTCTATTACTACCACCCGTTGCTCACGGGCCGACCACGCCGGCGACCGGTCGAGTGGCGTGGCCTTGCCCAGCTGCGTCATAGCGCTGGCCGCTGCTGGCCGATCGCTCGCCATCACCGTGGCAGCTCGCCGTGGCCTGCGGG